CTTTCTTTCTTTATTATGTAAGCAGTGTTTGCACCTTCGGCTCCTATGCCCTGGGAGGTGGGCAGGGAAGATCAATGACTGTAGTGGGATATTTTGATTGCCCTCTGACACTCCCGAGACTGCCAATAAAGTTTATGTTGAATCAGAGGGTCTGGAGTTAGCTGCTGGCTGGCCAGAATTAGCTGTAGAGGTTTTGGAGGACCCAGGTCATAGAGAGACACAGGAAGTAGTAGGGAGGGGCTTATTAAGATTTGAGGCCCTTTTGGATCTGGGAAAGAGAGAGAGAGGAGGTCACTCACTGGTCGCTTCTCCGTCGCTACTCTGATGGATCAGGTTTTTACTCTGATATCTGACTCCCAAGTTTTATTTAATAGTAGAACAATATAAGTAAAAGCTTCAAATTACACCCTGAAGATGAGCATGGAGAGAGGCACAGTCTCACAGGTCACCCGCACAGGTTCAAAGAAAGGTGCCTTTCTGCTTTCGCTGTGTACCTCAATGTAACAAATGTGTGCTACTGTAACAAAATACCTTAGAAACCATAGAGATTTATTTTTCATGATTCTGCAGGCTAGAAAGTCCAAGGCCAAGTGGATTCTGTGTCTGGTGAGGGCCTGCTTTCTGGCTCTTGGGTGGTGGTTTTTTTTTTTTTTTTTTGCTATGTCCTTGCAAGGCAGAAGCAGGCAGGCCAGGACTCTTGCCTATGAAGGACCTCATTTATTAAGCTGCTGATTTCATTCTTCGTATCACTTCTGAAAGCCCATGTCCTAACACCATCAGTTGGGGGTTGGGTTTTGTATATGGGCTCAATGGTACTGTAATGGGGAGCTTAAAATCTCAGCGCACTGGGCCCTGCCAGAAACTCAGACTTTTTTGGTTGGTTCAGACTTAAAACTCTTGATTGTTTCTACCACCACTCAAATGATGGAGGGCCTCCTTGGGGGCCTTTCATTGGTTGGGATCTGGACACGTCAACGCAAATGATTTCCATGGGGTGATGATGGTCCCTGACTCTAGGGAGGTTGAGAAGTCTGAGCGAGACAATGTGTACAGCATTCCTAATCCGTAATCAATGCAACTGCCCTGCTACTTGGAATTCTTTTCCCAACACCCGCCAGTGAGCATGGGGCCATGATGCTCTCTCGTCTCAGTCCTATGCTAAGTTCCATCATGAGTCTGTACCCTACAACCTCCCACATCAACTCTGTGTCCAGTGGTCAACAAGCACATCAACTCTGTGTGCTTGGTGGTTCCTGTTCCCTTTCCCACAGCCGGCCACTGAAGCTGGGAATTGCACCTTCAGTACCCAGGCAGGGGGAGAGACTTCTGCATCTAAATCACTTTTACTTTTTATTAAGAACTCTCTCATGTGAAAAAACGCTCACCGAGTCCCTTTCCACAGGGGCTGCTCTGCCATCATTTTCAACACGCCGAGGACAAGATGAGATTAGGCGTAGGGAAGGGGCCGTGCTAAGATGAGCAGTCAAGGACTGGATTTAAATCCAATTCGGCAGGTTGAGCCGGTTATTACGGGGCTTGAGGCAAGGGCCTCTGTGGCCTAATCCAAGCTTTCTCCAACACCTGGGTCATTGACAATGTCACTGCTGCTTTTATTCTAGGGGTATCGAGGGGATACAGTGTGTGTGTGTGTGTGTGTGTGTGTGTGTG